CTTAATTCTTTGCAACTGCTGAATATATGCTTTGTAGAAAAAGTAAATAATTTGTAGAGATGACTGAAAAATGTCATTCCTTTCTTACTAGAATTAATTGTCCAGGACCACTTGATTTTTGCATTGAATAGATCATGAATAATTTAGGATCTACAGCTTTTGTGTCTGCCTGTTACTGTCATTGTTATGTTCTGCCCTTACACGTAATGTGTGGCTATAGGCAAGTGCCTTTTATTTGAAATCACTCATCTAATAACATCAGGGTGCTGTAATTCTAAGGAGTTATTTCATGGAACACCTCTGTAAGAAAACAAAATGAGTAAAGGTAGAATTGGGCTCTGCTGTTACCCTTTACTCTGGAAAGCAGAAAGGCATTTCGTGAAGCCAAACTTCATAACTACTCCTTTGGTTTTTGCAGTGATTGGTTGAACATCCCACCCAACAGCTGTATAATTTCATCAGAGTGAATTGCTCTGGTTCTCTGCTCATTTTTGGTTTGTGTACTTATACTCCACTGTATTGGAGGAGAACGGAGGGGATAGGAGCTCTCCTTAACTGTGGTGCACATAGCAAGCTAGTCAGGCTTGATGTTTATAGAAGTAGTGTAAGAACTGGTTTAAAGAGAGAACACCAAGAAACGACAACAACAACCTGTTTACTGAAACAGATTCAGTGGAATTGGAAGGGGAAGCCTTGAAGAGCATAAGGAAATGCTGATTTTCTCAGTTCTAAAGCTGTGAGCTTTTTTTCTCTCCGTTTGTTTTACTCCCTTGTTAAAAGGCAGTAATTCTGGGTCACTGGGTGGTATTCTCAAGCTGCTAGTAACTGAACTATTTAGATGTTAGCTTTAACAGAACTTGGTAGTACATTTTGACAAGCAATATTAAGATCTTAACATTAAAAAGAAAATAATTCCAACATCCTGACAAGAACATTGACAAAAGATGCAAAATGCTGACAGACTTGTGTGATAAATACAGCGATCTGAGTAGGCTTTAGCTGCATCTGGTGTATGTGAAGGGCTATATTCTGCAGGAATGACTCATTCTTGTTATTGTTTTCAGTAAATGGAAAAATGTATTAGTAAGGAAGAGTTGCTAGGAAGCCCGGTGTGAATATGAGGTGAATTCACTGAGACACGAGGGATGATGTGTGAAGTGTTTACAAATGTGCTTTCAAATTAATGTTGGGAGATGGAAAAGGTTTTTAATCCAACTCCTGGGGTGCATCCTCTTACCCCCTTCAAAAGGAGTGTTCATTATCAGAATCTAATTTATTGCGTGGAAGGCTGAATTTCATTGTTTTCAACACAGGTGAGAAGTGTCTCTGAAATCTCTTGTCATGGAAAACAGGAACTCATGAAACTGAAGATAACAGCAGAGATACTTGCAGAAGGGTCCTTGCACATGGGGAGTGGAGGAAGAGCACAGCCTTCAGTAGGAGCCTAACTTGCACTTGGGAGACAACTGGTGCAAAGTAGTGTAATCACAGCATCACAGAATAGTTTAGGTTGGAAAGCACCTTAAGATCATCCAGTTCCAACCCCCTGCCATGGGCAGGGATACCTCACACTAGACCATGTTGCCCAAGGCTCCTGTATCAGCTGCATATTTCATGTCTTGTACCTAGTTTAAAACTTATTTTTTAAGGTTAAATGAATGTCCTAACCGTATAACTATTTCTGTAAGTAGTACACAAGGTTGTGGGGGAAAGGATTCCTCCAGCCTTGATTCTCCCAGCATCTGCTTTCAGGCTGGGACCTAGAAACGTCGTTGCTAGCCAGGAATGTCCTTTTGCACCCATGGTTCCACAGCAGAAGCTTGCTATAAGGTCTGTCTAAAGCATAGCTACCGTAAAGAAAGTCCCTACAGAAGAAATTCTTGCAGAATGTTATTTCAAAGGAAGCAGTTACTAACACTTTGTGGGCTGGGATGTGGATTTAATGGGATAGTTGCTGAGTCTTGATTGGTGTTTTACATGCCAGAGTTTTTCATTGTGGCCCACGCCACTATTAAATTAAATTTCTTTTTTTGTAGCACAAGAGTTGGTTTACAAATAGAAGAGTAAATCCTGCAAAACAGTTAGGCAGTGTGAATATGACTACCCACCTTGCTACCCGAGTTCTGTGGTTATGGTTTTGTGTGCAGTCTTTGAGTATTGAAGCTGACACCAGAAAACCCTTCAGTAGGTTCTCGCTTAGTGATACATGCAATGAAAAAAATCCACTTTTTAATTATGTTCCATAGTCTCCCAATTGCAGGTAACCTGAGTGTGTAGAGCTTTTTGTTTGCTTCTTGCGGTTTTTGGTGTTGGGAAAACCCACACCCTTATCACATGTAGGTAAAGGAAAAAAGTGCCTCTCATCCATTTATTGTTAAAGGGGTAACACTTGCTCTGTACGTTTGAAGGTGAACATGAAGTTGTAAAGACATTTTGAAGAGGATGCTGTTATTTGATTTCATAGGACTTGTATTTCTTAATTTATAAAATGGAAAGTCCGTCTTTGGATGAAGCCTTAAATCATGCCAGTATAATTCTCTTGGTAAGCATTCTAATTCCAAACTAAACATTCCACAAGATCTGAAATCTTTCTGAATGTCAAGAAAAATAATTCAAATATTGCTTCTAGAGAAATCCATGTAGAGTACAAATTTATTAATTATTTTCTTTTTTTTCCATCACTAAAATCCTGCTTGAAATCCAAGTTGTTGAATATAAGAAAGAAATATTCATGTTTCCTCCCTCTTTCCTTTTACAGATGGCCACAGCAGAACTTAGTTGGCACTATCACCTTGATGTTAGGATATAAAAGGAGATGTTGTATTAAAATACTTATAGCAGATGGGACAACTAAATTAAAATCATTGAATTAAAAAGCCATGCAGTATTTTAGTGTGAGAGAGAAATCTGGGAGAAAACTTTGGTTTGATTTTTTTTTTAGGGATTGCAAGAGGAGACATGTTTTTGGTCACTGCAGTATTTGGGTTGTAAGCCAAAGATAATGCTCATCAGGGATCCCCTGTATTTCTTTAGGTGCTATATCTTATCACAGCCTTTGAGCTTTCAGACAACACTTATGGATTTCTCAGTTTCAAATATAACTTTCATTCTGGAAATGTGGGCCTATGAGGTATGTAAATGTTGGGCCAGATAAGGATAATCATGTTTAAGTGTGCCAGTAATAGCTCACACTTGGGTTTGCTTGCAGATGGTACCATGGTAGAACCTTATACTTTAGACTTAGACTTGGCAAGAAATCTGCTTTCTGGTTTTGGTTTATTTCTTTTGGAATGGACTAAGTTGATTAATTGCAAGACAGAGAAAATAAAGTAAAGGTCTGACATCAACTAGTCATGGTATTTGCTCGTTACCTTTGGTGATAGGAAAGATACAATCAAATGCATTTCCTCAAGGCAACTGGTTGAAACAGTGGAAATTCCTTTCACAGTCTTTTGATTTTTCTATTTGTTATCTGAGAATTTTTCTTCTTCTGGGAGGTTTCAGGCTTACCTGAATTTCTTCTTTAATTTCTTTTTTAATTACGTGCCTTTTCCTTTCTATTTCTTAGGTTATAATTTTTTAATTTAGCATTTTATTCTGAAGTGACTTTTGTTTTATATATGTGAGACCCATTTTTTCCTCTTTCTAATTTTTATTGTTTCACTTTTCGGTTTCTGCTTATAGGAATTTGTTTCACTCCTTTAGAATTGCCCCACTTTTACTTACGCTGAGCACTGTGTAGGAAATGTCTATTTAAAATCAAGCTCTTAGGACTTCTGGATTTATTTATTTTTTTTTTTCCCCTGGACTCTTGTAAGAGCAGAGCTGTATGTCATTGCAGTTTGCTTTCAAGTTGGGTTCCACAAACTGATTTAATGGAGCATGCAGCCTAAAGCTTGGGAAGTTCTTGAGGAATTTCTGGGACAAGTTCTTGACCATCATTGACCATCATCTCATTTGTGCTAAGGTTGACCCAATTTTGCCGGCTTGTATCTATCATAGCCCAATGTGTATCTTCATGTTCATGTGATTTCATTATACACAGAGCTTTCCTCAAATCTTGTCTTTCAACTACAATCACCTCTCCTACCCTGTAGTGTCTTCTGATTGACAAAAACATTATTTAATGGTATTTTAAATTGAAAGAACCCTAAGAAAAACTTCAGCTTCCTTGGACTGTATCTAGATAGAGGTAGAAAATAAGTCTTCTCATTCAAGCGTACCTAGAAAGGCTGATGTGGAAAGTTACTATATTTAAAAGATAGGTGAGATTATGATAATATAGCGTGACATCTTGCTTGAAGACAGACTGTTGACTATAGCAGTTCAACCCTACAACCAGTGTTACTACAGCTCACATGAATATGAGTGAAAGTTGGGTAGCCACGGGTATTTTGTTGTTGAAGGAATACCACCATAATCCAGATCGGGTATTTTAACTGAGAAATGCTGGGTAGAAGTAAAGGTTTTCTAGACATGTCTACATGTCTTGAATTACGCTGGGTTTCAGAGGTTAAGTGGGCAGTGGGGAAGATAAGGCCAGAATGTGGATGAACTCTGACAGCAGGGAGTTAAATATATTTTCTTGTGTGTCATTAAATATGGAATTCTGCCCCTGGCAGTCAAGATAACTTACTGTATTCTGCAGCTCATCAGTACATATACATGGCTTCACTTCATTATTCACCAGTGTGACCAAATTTAAGTGTATTTCAACAGGCTTTACTGATACCATTATTTCTGTATTAGTTAGGCCTGTTGGATGCGGTTTCACAGATTATTAATGGAGCAGAAGTGACTCGTCTCAAAGATTCACTCCTGCCCTGCTTCTGCCACTCACTTTGTATCCTCATCCTGATTCAAATCCCTATAGAGCTCCACAATCGCAGTGCAGCCATACAGTGATTTGAACTGGGAAGCTGATCCCAATTAAACCAGGCTTTTTTTCTTTCTTGTTGAGCTACTTTTGATCAGTTTAACTAATACAGTTGCTGATGCAGGTTCACAAATGCACATGCCAGCTCAGATGAGCACCCAGCAGTGGGATGTGAGTAGATACATGGAAGCCTTCGCTCGTGATACTGGCCCATGCTGGTGTAAAATGCGGGCTTGCTACTTCAAGAATATGAAGGCTTCTATCTGATGGTGATGCAAACACAAGCAAGTAATGATACAGTTGGATCGCTGGACAGCTGGACACACAGTGACTCACTCATCTAGAGGATTTTTCACTAAAACACTCTTTCTGTGGCTGGCATTCACTGTCTCTCACTTTGAATAATAATAACTTTCATGGGATACATGTACATTATGGCTTTTCTATTGCATTTCTTATCCTGACAATTCATTGCCCTTTTAGTTTGTTTTAAAGCATTTTTTATTATTTTTTTTTAATATTTCATTCTTCTCACTTGTGTGATGCCAGATGCAGTGATTAGGAAAGGTCACAGTGCTGCTCAGCCATACGTAGCTGACTTCAGTGTCTGTTTATTTGGTCTTTGGTTATTAGGTAGGTAGCATTATCATTTAACAAAGTACTTAGGTGTCGTATCGTGGGAATTGATCTATGGCTTAGCAGAATGAATACAGACAGCTTGAATTTGATTTACCTACAGAAGAGCTACAGAAAAATGAAGTACCAGCTGTTCTTTCTGTGTGCAGTAATGTTGATCAGCTGAAATGAGCTGATTTACAGGAAGAAAAACACAGCAAAGACAATTTATCTCCAGCTTCATACCGTGATTTGTTATTCCAGTATGTGTTAGGGGTATTTCTGGGGGGTGGGACCCTAAACCTGTGAACTGTCAATTGTAATATTCTCAATAATCCTGAGATACAACTTTAGGTTTCTTATTTGTAGGTATGTGAAATACGGTAACGTAACATAAAATATTCCCATAAAAAAGTAGGTTTGAAAAAGAATGGAACAGTGCAGTAACGTAATGGGGAAAACCACAACAGGCTCTCAGTGATGTTTCTGCTAGATGGGACTAAAATTCAGTTTGGTAGAAATCGGCACAGCTGTGCTGGCATCTGTGAAGCTGAACTGACTTGCTCTGTGTGTGTGTGTGTGTTGTGGTGGTTCCAAAGCTCCAAGGAACATTCCTCTTGTTTCCTTAGGGATGTGTGTGTATTTGTATGTAGCTACCGAGTTCACAATTCTTGTTCTGTAGGTAAAATGACACATTTGAAGTACTGGAAATGAGTTGTGGATAGGTTGGGGGTTTTCTGGTGTTTTGGCTCTACTTTTCTCTGGGTTCACTTGCTGGAATTGCTGACTGCTGCAGTTAATTTCAATCCATTCAAGGGCGGTCAAAAGTAAAGCAATAGTGAGCTGCAAAGCCTGGACTGGTTTCACTGATACTGCAAGAGTCTAAACAAAGCCTCTCTTCATCTAGGGTTAAAAATCTCCAGTAGAAGTGTAGCTCTGTATAATTTTTATTGACACAAAAGTAGTAAAAAAAAAAAAAATGGAAGCAAGCAATATGCAAGCTAAAAAGACTGATATATGGCTGCAATTTGCTGTTTATCCTCTTATAGTAATAGGATGTAGAATCATAGAATAGAATCGTAGAATGGTTTGGGTTGCAAAAGACCCTAAGGTCATCTCGTTCCAGCCCCCTGCCATGGGCAGAGATGCCTCACACTAGGCCATGTCACCCAAGACTTTGTGCAGCCTGTCCTTGAATGCTGCCAGGGGTGGAGCATTTAGCACTTCTTTGGGCAACCTGTGCCAGTGCCTCACCATCCTTGCAGTAAAAAACTTCCCGTTTTAGTTTAAACCCATTACCTCTTGTTCTGTCGCTGCAGTCCCTGTAGAATCAGCCTGTATCTTGTGGTTCTCAGTCTTGCAGGCAGTGGGATGCCCCGTGTGGCCTTCAGAGCTTTGTGCAACTCAAATTCATTGGTTTGCTCCTAGCTACCAGCTAAGGAGAAACAAGAGAGCCAAAGCCTTGTATTAAACCTGTTTGTAAGACTTGTGGTGTTTAGGATCGGTTTAATTTTTACCTGTTGAAGTATGCAGATGCGTGCTGTTAAATCCCTCTGGATTTAGTTTGTGTATCCCTTGGGACTGTTGCTGGCCTGGAGCTGCAAGACTTGCATGGGCTCACCCTTGTGGGCTTACTGCAGCAGGGGGAACCTGCCAGCTGGATGGAAAGACCAACTGAAACCAAGGTGGCTTTATTGGCTTTCTGGAAAGCAAGAGCACAGCTGTGTGTGGGGAGTCAGGGATTCATTCAAGTGTTTACTTAAAGTTTCAGAAGGTTAATGGGTTACACGGTTTTGAGCTGGTAAGGGGAATGGATGTGGGTTTCTGGTTTCAGTGATACTGCAGCCCAGACAAGGATTCTGTTCTGCCCAAGGCACTTGTCCAATATGTTTGGAATAGACACAGGACCTTGAGCCTGCATGTGAAAATGGCAAAAGGCTCCCATGTCTTGTACCTTTCCTTATGTAGCTGCTCTTGTGCTTTTATTGTGATGTGAATAAATGCCCAGACACTTTAGTTTTGGATTTGGAGATGTGTGAACAGGCTGGGAAGCTCTGCCTGAAGGATCCAGAAGAGCAACCCTCATTCTCTGTCCTGCATTTTCATAGTTCAGGTGAACATATTTTTCTGACCTTGATTTTGGTGAGATCATGACAGTTGTGCATGTGCTGTTTTCAGGGGTGTACAACTTCTTTCATTTTTTTGCCTTCATTTAATCCTTTTTTTTTGCCTTCATTTAATCTTTTTTTTTGCCTTCATTTAATCTTTTTTTTTGCTTTCATTTAGTCTTTTTTTTTCTTCCTAAAATTGTTGGATTTCCAGTATTTTATCCTCATGCTTATGAAATTTGGACTCTAATGGTAAATATGAATGCTAGCACCCATGTTTATTGGTTGTGAAGTTTGCACAGAACTTATTTGATACATTTACAGCTTAAGAAGGTGACAGTTTCATTTGTTAAATTGCAGCGGATAAGAACAAGCAACAGTGCAGAGATAGGTAATAAATTTGCCTATTTTTAATAGCTTAAGATGTAGCAAATATTTCAAAGTGACAGGGCTCAGCTGGACATGTTCTACAACAGAGAGCTATAGCAGTTGGGTGGACGAATGGTGTTTTGGTGTACATTGACAATTCACACATTTCCTGGGCATCTTACCTGGCCTGTCTGTAGTATTTTGTGTCCTGGTGAGCTTTTAGATCTTTTGGTGTAGCTGCAAAACACCCACACATCTCAAATTGGATAACATAGCCATTTCTTTTCTTAGCTGAACATGTCTAACAGCAAATAAAAATCTTGGTTTCTCAGTGGAGTAGGTTCCCCTGTTCTGTCCTTCTTGCTGCAAGCCCAAGCATCGTAGAATCACAGAATGGATTAGGTTGGAAAGGACCTTGAGATCATCCAGTTCCAACCCCCTGCCATTGACAGGGACACCTTGCCCTAGACCATGTCACCCAAGGCTCTGTCCAGCCTGGCCTTGAACGCTGCCAGGGATGGACCATTCACAGCTTCCCTGGGCAACCCATTTCAGTGCCTCACCATCCTAACAGTAAAGAACTTCTTCCTTATATGTAACCTAAACTTCCCCTGGTTAAGTAAACCCACTTCCCCTTGTCCTATTGCTACATCTTCTAAAAGGAATTATCTGTCAGCATTCGTATTAAACTCTCCATAAAAAATGTTGATTTGAACTGACTTTCCAGATCAAACAGAAAACTTAATTAATGCCAGTTAATTAAATTCTTGGTGGAAATGAGAAAGTAAGTACACAGATGCCCAAGATTGCTGCTGTCTCTGCTAATAAAGCAGCTAACGAAGCATTTTCTAGCTGTACCTGGAGGGGCAGGTCCTTGGTGGGAATGATTTCCTCAAGGAACTAACCCTGCTAGCATCTGCATCATGTCCTGGGTGATGTAGGTTTGTTTTTCCTGCTGTTACTGTCTGCATCATTATTACCTGGCAACATAAATAAAACAGCCATGAAGACACTGGATTGCACTCCCTCCTTTCCAGAAGAAGACACCTGAGTCAGATTTTATGGTCACTTAACTCTTCACTGCAGGCCACTGTGATGATGAGTGTGATATAAATCTTGGAACCTGCCAGCTATCAGGGCTCTGCGTGCACACCTGGGCTCTGCTGTAAACAATCCAGGCTCACTGACCGCAGTTCTTGTGAGCAGCTTCTGTCCATACGGAGAAGCTCATTGATATTCAGCTTGTAGACTTCTAATGCTCTTGTTTGGCAGATACCACTGCAGAACCGCTGCTGGATTGCAGGTGTTTTCCTGCTGCCACTTGGAAGTAGCTAGAGTGCATACTTAATGTGGAATTTGCAGTCTGAGCAGTAAATCTACAAGAGTTATTTGAAGAGTCATACAGGATTTAATTGTGCCTTTAGTCTCGGGGTGTTCTGAAGACGTTGGGGGGGGGGGGGGTTGTAGCTTTTAAGCCAGGTACAATCTCGATGCAAGAGGTTGAAACCACTTGTCCTTGGGCAGTGAAAGCTGTGTGGAGTGCTTGCTACTTCTCCCTCCCTTCCCTGGTGTGGGTTTTTGGGGGTGCGTTGTGGGTTGCTTTTTTTGTAGTCTTTACTGCATGTGACAGTATAATGCAGATATTAATGACATCTAGCTGGAATCATAGGAAATCTCTTGATTTCCTTTTGTTTTAATGCTTCATTTAAAAATAGGTTATATTTCAGAATATAAAAGTTAAGTGTTTTTTGGCATTCAGTAATAGAGGTATAAGTGATGTCTGTGTGTCCTGGGTTCAGCAGTAGCAGGGGAAAAATGACTGCTACTGCTGAACCCAGGACACTGTGCATTCCTGTATTTGCATCAGTGCAGGCAGTGGTTATCTCTGAATGTGAAGTGTTCAAAATATAATCTTTCTGTCTTCTCCAAAATGAAGTGGCAGAGGCCTATAAGCTATGGGTTCATTACACTGCACAAAGCTGACTGGCATATGTTTTTCCTTGGAAATTGAAGGGGAAAATGTTTTTTTCCCCTTGATTTTAGATGAGACACATTTTTCTTTTGAGATTTACATAAAGGACCAGGCAAGATTAATATGTAAGCATTGAGGGGAGGAGGGAGAACCTGAATGTGAACAGGCAAGTTTCCCCATGTCTGCATCTACAGTATGTGCTAGGGCACTCTTTTCCATGCTGCTTTATCTCCCTTTTGTCACTATTTTCCAGAGGTTAAGGCTAAGTTTCAGGCTTGTTTTTAGAAATATATCCTTCAGATTTTTTAATCTGTGTTTTTAATGATTCTGGTTCACTGATTCTGTCACCGTTAGAAGTGTATCTTTTGTCGTTAAACCTTTTTTTTGAGTGGGAAATAGTAGTCTGGAGGACACAGTTATAGTACAGTTC